CGCTGGCCGAGCCAGACCTGTCTCAGGGATCCAGCCTGACCCGGCCCGTGGAGGCCCTCTTCCAGCTGTGGACCGCGGAGCCCCTGGACCAGGCGGCCGCGTCCGCCAGCACCATCGACATCTCCAAGTGGAGGACCTTCCAGACAGCGCTCTTCCTGGACCGGCTCCTGGACGGGTCCCCGCTGCCCCAGGGTGAGTCCTGCAGCCGCCGGGGTGGTGGGGGAGGGGAGGGGCCGGCTGGCCTGACCTGCCCGTGGCCGGCAGAGGTGGTGATGAGCCTGTCCAAGTGCTACTCCTCCCTGCTGGACTCGATGAACGCCGAGATCCGCATCCGCTGGCTGCAGATCGTCGTCCGAAATGACTACTACCCCGACCTCCACAGGGTCCGGCGCTTCCTCGAGAGCCAGGTGCAGCCACCAGCGCGGGCCCGCCCCACCCCTCCCCCCACCCCTTCCCCACCCCTCCCCCCACCCCTTCCCCACCCTCCCCCACCCCTCCCCTCCCCCCCGTCCCCACCCACTCAGACTGGGCATCCCAGAGAATGGGGTGGGGAAGACGTGGCGTTGGGGCTGGCAGTGGGGGGAAGAGCACAGACCCCACCGGGCCTTGGGGTGGCGGTGCCCGAGGGCCAGGCCGGGAGCAGAGTCCGGGGTGGGGGTCTGGGCCCACTGGGCCCTGGGCGTGGACAGCCGGCGCATCTGAGCTCCTCAGAGGCCCTAGGACCCCAGGCCTGCCGGGGCCCGGCCTCCCCACTCCCCAGACCTGTCCCCCGGCAGTGCCCCCCTAGCCCGAGCTCCCTGGAGACGGGGCTTCTACAGAGGCCTGCAGTGGTGGAGGCAAGGACAGTGGGGCCCCCGCTGCGGCAGTGTGAGTGCAGCCCTGGGGCCCGCGGGCGGCAGGGGCCGGGGAGCGGCCGGTGTGACAAGCGGCCATCCACAGATGTCCCGCATGTACACCATCCCGCTGTACGAGGACCTCTGCACCGGCGCCCTCAAGTCCTTCGCCCTGGAGGTCTTCTACCAGACGCAGGGCCGGCTGCACCCCAACTTGCGCCGGACCATCCAGCAGATCCTGTCCCAGGGCCTGGGCCCCGGCACAGAGCCCAGCGTGGAGCAAGGCGGGGCCGGAGCGGACTCGGAGGCGGACACAGACGCACCAGCCCTGCTGCTCGGGGACGAGGCCCCCGGCAGCGCCATCTCTCTCAGGGATGTCAACGTGTCTGCCTAGCCCTGACTGCTCGACACCACGATTGTGCCTTCTGGGCCTCGGCCCACCGTGACCGTGCCCCAGCCTGGCCCACGCACCCCTCCTGCAGGCTCTCTGGGGGCACCCCCGGGGCCGGCCAAGGCCCGGGGACCTGGTCCCCGCAGCCCTCTTGCACTGCAGGCCTGGAGCGGCCAGCACACGCCACACCCTCCTGTCTCAACACTGACTGCCAGGCGCTGCCCCTGGGTCGATGGCGACCGCCACACCGTGCCTTACATCTGCCGGGGGCCTGGGCCATGCTGTCCCCCCAGCGTGCTTCCTGCCCGCGGCCCCCGCACCCCACCCCCGGGGATGGCAGCCTCGGTTGGCCTCCGGCAGAGGATGCAGACATGCCCTCCGCGTGGGGGGCAAGGGACACCGAGTAAAGGGTGGATGTCCCTGGGGAGGGGCCCCCCGGAAAGCCTTAGCTCCTCAGGGAACACGGGATCCCAGGCCCCAGGGGGAGTGGGACAGGACAGTCTGTCTTGAGGCTGCCTGGGGCCAGTGCAGCAATAACACACAGGGAGGGGCAGGCGGCGCTGGTGCTCCTTCTAGGCCCACCCTGCCGGAAGAGGCCTGGGGAGCCCAGTGCCTAGAGCCGGGCCCCCCGGGGGACCACTGTGCAGGGTCGCCGTGACTGTCCCATTAAACCTCCACTCTGCAAACTACCTCCCGGCCTGTTCGTCCAGCTCCTTCACACCTGCCCAGCTGCCGGGGGGCGGGGTCCTGAGCTGGTCACCACCAGACACGCAGGCCAGAGGCCGGAGGGGCGGGGTACTGCTGAGGCTCTTCTCTGCCCCCCAGCCCCTCCTGACCATCCTGGCTCTGCCCTCGGAAGCCCCCGATCCTGCCCGGCAGCCCTGGGGGTCTGAGCACCAGCGGCACCTTCCACCCTCCCCAGCCCCTCCCCCCCACCCCGGACCCCCAAACACCAAAGCAAGGAGGCCACTTGACCACCGTTGCTGCGGGCCTTTCTCAGCAGTGGTCCCCCATCCCAAACTGGAGTAAAGGAAGAGGTGAGTGTGACTTCGGGGGATGGAGAAGGAAGGATGTCTGCAAGCACAGGTGCGGTCGAGGCTGCAGGTACTGGTGGGGCTGGAAGAGGGAGTGAGGTCGGGGACTCCACTTGGGGCATCGCCACGAAGGATGGCCAAGCTGTGGACGCCGGGATTGATGCAGCCACTGCGACAAAGGGCAGCAGTCGGGCCCTGGTCCTCCTAGTTGCCCGCGGGGTTGGGCTCACGGGGTGGCACGCCTCTGGTGTGGGTCTCCCACCAGCATTACGCGCTCTGGCCCTGCAGTGACACGTCACCTGACCAACTGGCCGGACCCAGTCACAGAGCCCCCCACCCCCACCCAAGGGGCCAGGGCGAGGGAGGACCGCAAATGGTGGGCCAGCAGCCCTGGCCCTGCCACATCCGGCCCCCAGGTCACCAGATGTCCCACGGATTCTCCTTCCTGCACTCAAGATGCAGCCCCTCCACCTCACCCCCTTGCCCCAGCCAGGAGGTGACTTGGCCCCACCCAGTTACGGCCCAGGGTCTCGGGGGGCTGTCCCAGCACCAGGGCCTGGTGGGGCTCCACTCGGCCCAGCCACTCGCGAGCTGGAAGGCCAGTCACCCGCCCGCGGGGAACAGGGACAGGGCGGCAGCAACAACACCCCTGCGGAGGGAGAACCACGGGGGACCAGCAGCCCCCGCCCCACAGCAGTGTTAGAGGCCTGCCAGGGGCCCCATCCTGGGCCAGGCTCCCCAGTCCTGGGTTCTCTGTGGCCCTTGGCTCTGCCCTGGGAAGGGTCTGCCCTTCTGTCTAACTGGTCACGCCTGATCATGGCATTGGCCAAGCCCTCTTTGGGGGCTGAACTGCTTCCTCGGCCTCTTCTCCACCAAGACCATTTTCAAGTCTCTAGTCACAAACTTTTTAGTCCCAGCCTCCTGGTTTCTTCGGCAGTGCAACTCTCAACAGCGCTGTGGTCCCCCAAGGTCCTGCCGTGGCCTCTGTGGGCGTGCAGCCACGCCCGAGGTGCCTGCTTCGCTCCCGCCCCCCTGGCCTCTCCCGGCCTTGCGAGGCTCAGAAGCAAGCCCTACAGTCTCACGGGAGCGACACCCACAGCTCGGTGTCGTCCTGCCACATGGTCCTGACTGATCTGCCCTCTGGGATGAGCAGGTGGCCTCTCACCCCCACGAGTCCCTGCGTTCCTGCCTTTCTCGATTCCTTTTCCTCCCAGCTTGCAAACCGGGCATGTGTTTTCAGGCTATCTCTCCCTCGTGGTATCTTGCCAAACGCAGCCTGTGACCAACACAGGCTGCCAGGGTTTCCCAACCTCTTCCACCAGACCTGTGAGTTATTTTGGACATCGTTTGCCTCATGGGTCGTCACGGTTGAGTTTTACCAAATGTTTTGTGGCTGCATACCACGGCTTCCAGGGATGGGCCCATGCCAGCCCCCGGCCTGCATCGTATGTCCTGATACAGCCTCACACCTATTCTGGGGCCGATGTCTGTGCTCTGGCAACAAACAGCTCTAAAATACCAACGTTTTATTTTATTTTATTTATTTTTTTAATTTATTTTTGGCTGCGTTGGGTCTTCGTTGCTGCGCGCAGGCTTTCTCTAGTTGCAACGAGCGGGGGTTACTCCTCATTGCGGTGCATGGGCTTCTCATTGCGGTGGCATCTCTTGTTGCGGAGCACGGGCTCTAGGTGCGCAGGCTTCAGTAGCTGTGGCTTGTGGGCTCTAGAGCGCAGGCTCAGTAGTTGTGGCGCACGGGCTTACTTGCTCCGTGGCATGTGGGATCTTCCCGGACCAGGGCTCGAACCCATGTCCCCTGTGTTGGCAGGTGGATTCTTAACCACTGCACCGCCAGGGAAGTCCCTAAAATACCAGTGTTTTAAATAACGAAGTTTTATCTCTCACTCGTGCCTGTGTCCCCTTCAGGCCAGGCGGGGGTGTGGGCTTCCTGTCTCTCGTTCCTCAAGGACCCATGCTGATGGACGAAAGCACCTCGTCAGAGATGGGGCTGTGAAGGGGCTCACACCAGCAGTCAGACGCGCTGGGGCCATGCGCCACGTCTGTCTGCTCCTGCCACGTGCATGGAGGTGGGGGTTTTCGGCCAGTGGCAGTACTGACCACCATAGGGGCTGAGGGCAGTGCTGGGAGACAGAACTTTCGGGACAGAGAGGGGAGCAGTCAGGCAGGAGAATTGGGCCGAGGAGGGTGATGTCCAGGATGGGGATGGGAGTGGCCGTGAGCATCGGATCTGCTGGGGCCAAGGAAGGCGGGGCAGCGAGGAGAGATGGTGTGTGGAGAGCTGACCCGTGAGGGTTTGTGTATAGAGCCCCGCGCTGCCTGGAGCCTCTCTGGAGTCCAGGTACGGGCGTCTCGAGTCCCTCAAGCCGTGTCCTGTGTGGTCCAGACTTGCCTTGGGGGCGCTTCTCTCCCCTCCCCCACTCTTACTGGGACTTACTGGAGGTAAGCCCCCATCTCTCAGGCCAGGTGCCTTGGGCAGAACTTCAGATGTAAACATGAGGCGAGTCAAGCACCCACCCAGGAGAGCACCAACCACGTGCTCAGCGGCCAACACTCCCCGGCCCAAGCGGACCCCCATGGAAGCAGGGCTGACAAAGTAACCAGACACAACTAACGTCTCAGCCACACGATGGCGGGGTGGGGGTGGTTTGAAATAAACCCTAAGACGGGAATAGGCACCTGTGAGATGACCAGGAGTCAAGAAAAAGAACCAGTCAGGGACCTTGGAAGTTTCTTAAAGGGACAACTTTTTAAATAAAAAAAAATGCAACCCGAGAAGAATGGTCACAGTGAAGACGGGACTCACGGACTGGAGCATCAAAGAGCCCTCCTCGCGTCAGCAAAGGCCTGACGAAGGGAAAGAACAGAGGAAGCGCGAAGCGGTAGGATTCGCCCAAGCCCCGGGGTCGTGGAAAGACTGGGCCGCACAAAGAAGCTCAGACTGATCAAGGCATCCTCGCTCTCAACACATCCGGGACTCCAGCCTCCTCTCCTTAGCCATTGCCCCCCTCTACCCACCATCAGACCTCCCCGGCCAGGCTGGGCCACCTAAGGCCGCCTCCCCCAGGCAGCCTCCCTAACCCACATCCCCTAACACAGGCTGTCCTTTCATCAAGAGGATTCTGACGGCAGCTGTTACGGGTTTTGTTTTTTGTTTTTTTCTTCACTTTCTCTCTAAATAATCACCAGATGCTGGGAGGGTGAAGGCCAAGCGCAGGGTGCGCCCTGAACACGGGCTGTGCCGAGGCTCCCACAGGGCTATAGCCCAGCATCCGGCAGGGGCTCTCAGCACAGGGCAGGGTGGAGAGCGCTACCGCCCACCCACCCAGGCCCAGATAATCCTTCCTTGTTCAAAAACGCACGAGCAAGCAGAGAGGAATAGAGGACGCGACGCCCGCAGTGCAGAAAATATCCCGCTTGGAACTCCGGTCACCTCAGAGCAGTGAAGTCAAGAAGAAATTACCTGTATTGTGTTCAAAATAAAACTTAAGAACACGTGACCACTTTGGAGCAGTAGTTAAGGGGGAAAGTCCTATCAGGAGCGTGTATTATTTTTAACAATGAGGTTAAAAAAAAAAACCCAAACAATCTAAAACATCACCGCAAAAGAATCCATTCCTCTGTCAGCAAGCAAAGCGACCTAGGCCTGCCTGGTTTCGGAACGCTGGCTCCGTCCCACGTATAGCTGTGGGGTCCTGGGCTGCCCCCTCCTCCCTTTGAAGTTAAGGTTCTTTGTCGTAAAATGGGACGGTAACACCTACCTCTGAGATGCGTGGGGATCATACAAACTCCGCGTCTCAGCGTTGTCAAGTGCATTTGACCCTTCAAGCCCTTAGGGGCGGGACCTTCCTCACTTCTGTTGAACTGATTGCGGGTTGCAGGAAAGAGACAGATGGCTTTGTTCCAGCCCTGCCTGGGGAGATTCCTTCAGCTGGAACCTCCAGACAGGGGCAGGGGAGAGACCCACGCTTCCAGGACGCACTCCCGCTCCGCTCCAGCGAAGACCGTCCCACAGGGAAACAGTCCACATTCGTGGCCCTCGCTGACGCCCCTCGGCCCAGGCCCAGCCTTGTTTCTCACGTAATCCTCAGCCCACCCCAGGGTCTCTGCAGCTGGAGACGGGCCCAGAGAGCAGCTGGGACAGCCGCCCAGCAGGGCCAGGTTTCCAGTGATTCTTGCTCAGGTGACCTCAGGGTGCTCCTGGCTCGGGGGCCCTGGACTACTGCTCTGCGTGCCCCCGGCCCCGGGGGGCGGACACCCGTGCTCCCACCGTCTCTCGGTGCTCAGAGGCCAGAGTCAGCTCTGGGATGTGCGCGGTGGAGGCTGGTCCTGTGCACCCAGGGCCTTGCTAAGGTAGGGGACCTCCCACCTGTCCCGTCCCCTGAGGAGGAGAGTCCCGGAGAGAAGGGCTTGCTCAGAGGGACAGCCGCCCCACCGCCCACAGGCCCGGGACACGAGTCAGCCTCGGGCTGCCTGGGGTCGGGCACGTGGCCTTCACTGTTCTGCGGGCCTGAAACTGCCTTGCAATTCAGACGCATCAATGCAACTGAGAACGTGTCTCAAGAGCTTCCTCACCTGAGGGGCCCGAGGCCAATCCTTCTGCAGCTCTACGGGGCCTCCCCATGTCCCACTTGTAACCGTCAAACAGCGCTATGACATGGAGCTGGTGTTCCCGCCTTACAGCGAGGGCCCTGAGGTCAGACTTTAAATAACTGCCCATCCCGGGACCTGCGGTTGTGGAGACGGGTTGTGCACCAGCAGCCCCCAGAACACCTCCTCATTTTCCCACCCCAGGCTGCCTCCGTCGCCTCCTGATACCCCAAGCCAGAGGCTCCACTCTGCACAGGGCTGGGGGGTGGGCCCAGGAGGGAGCGGGGACTCCTAATTAGCCAAGGGGTCAGCTCTGCACCCAGAGGTGGGGAAAGGCACCACAGGGCTTGTGGGGTAAGTGTGGCCCAGGAGGAGCTGTGCCCGCAGGCCGACAGGAAAGATGCCTTCATGCCGTCTCGGTGTTGGTCACAAACCAACACTGCAGGCCTGGGCTGCTGCCTACCCAGCACCAACTGTCTGCTGGCCCCTTCTCTGGGCGTGGGCCCAGCTCTGGACACCGACATGCCCACAGGACACTGCCTGCTCTCCAGAGCTTGCAAGCCTGGGTAAGTGGCACAGCAGAGGCCCCCACTTAGAGTCCAGATCCTGGACTGGCCCCAGCCCGCTGCTCACCACCCCAGCGTGTTACCTGGAGCAGACCAGTCTCCCAACACCCCAGGTCAGGGAAGTTTCTCTTAGTCCTTCAGGACACCCACATGAAGCAGGGCCCAGGCCATTCCTGACTCCATCCAGCTACGGTGCAGCCTCCAGCCTGCCATAAACATCTTCTGGGAGAGTCAGCACCACGGGGGCAAGGGTCATGAAATGAGCATCCCAGAGAGAGATGTCAGACGATGCGGTTACTCCCCTCTCTAGAACCTCAGCAGAGATGAGGACCCTAGGCCTCCAAACCCCCCCGTATCATGCCACCACCAACAGCTGCTCCTCATGCAGGCCTTGCTGGGCCTCTCAGAGGGAGAAGCCGCAGCTGTCACAGCAACTGGGGGCTCTGGAGCAAGAACGCCGGGGCAGGGGCTCCTGGACCAGGCTCCGTTTCTCATCAGCATGGATCAGACTGCAGAAGGGCTTCGATCTGACCACCCTTCCTATCTGGGAGGCTGGGCAAAAGCGGCCTGCGGATACAAAATCTGAGAAGCTCTAGTAGGTATCAGAGAGCTGTCCTAGAAGGATTGTGCCCCACCCCACCCCATCTCCTCCCCTGTGCGGCCCTCTGTGAAGGCTCCAGCCACAGTGAAGCAGGCTTGGAGAGGCAGTCAGAGAATAAGCCTCTGGCTGGCTGCCTGCCTTCCTTCCTAGGAATGGGGACGGGGAAGGGCAGGCTCCTGCAGCAAAGGTGAATCCTTGAGCAGATCCTTAAGTCACTGCCCTCACCAACCCGCAGCACTGAGCGGCCATGAGCTACAACCGCAACTCCAGCGGGTCACTGTGCAGCCCACCAGCACCGGATGCCCGGCCATCTGGGGACCCGGAGGATGCTCCAGCCTCATCGCCTGCCCGGCTCAGGATCTAGCGCGTCTGATCCCAGCCTGCCCTGAGACAGCCTCCCAGGCCTGGGTAGGCCCTCCCGGGGCCGTAACATTCCCCAGGACCCCAGCACACAACCACAACAGTGGCGGACACCACACGGTCCCTGACGGCCCACAGCTCCCCTTCCCGAGTCTCTCATTGGCTCTCCCGACACCAGGTGGCCGGACCCACCGCCCCCGCCGGAAGAAGTGCATTCTGGAGGCAGCACGGCATGCTGGGACCTGTAGTTCGTGGCCCGACCTCGGCCGAGACTGCCTCTCTGGTCCCTTCAGCCTCAGGAGGCAGTCCTGACGCCCCGACCCGAACCACACCGGCCCGAGGACAAGACGCTGCCGGCTTCCCAGGTGTGAGTCTCCGCTGAGACACCTTCGAGCCCCCCGGCCCTGGAAAGAGAAGTGCAGCCAAGGCGACTAACCGGCTTCGCTGGAGCCTAGCTAGAGAGCCACGCCCCCTGGGGGCTGGGAATCTGGCGCGGACTTCCCAACGCTCGAGTGGGATTGGGCCGTTCTGTCATGTGATCAGGGGCTACGCGCCTGGTTGGCTGCAGCCTAGATCGACGGTTACCGGGGCGACGGAGCGGGCGGGCACCGGGGCTGGGTGGTACTGTGGGTCCAGCGGGGCTGGGGGGCCGGGCCGGACGGGGGAGGCGCGAGGCAGGCGGGACCGCGGCCGGTTCGCGCTCCCTCCGGGGCTGCGCGCCCCCTCGGCTGCGCTCGGCACCGGGGCGCGGGCAGCAGATGGGAGCTTGGGGTGCCCAAGATGCGGGCGCCGGCCAGGGAGCTCTTCCGGGACGCTGCCTTCCCGGCCTCGGACTCCTCGCTCTTCTCCAGCTTCTCCACGCCGCTGGCCCAGTTCCGGGAGGAAATCACGTGGAGGCGGCCCCAGGTGGGGCAGGGGGGCGCGCGGGTCTCACGGGTCTCGCGCCAGGCCTCCAGGCGCTCCTTCCTGCAGGGGTGCGAGCGCGGCGGCCGCGGTTAGCCGGGGCTGGATGCACGACGGTCGGCAGGGTCTGCCGCCGCTGTCCTCCTGAGTGGGCTGCCAGGCCCCCTCCCCAGCCCACTCGGGGTGTGCTGGACCCGAGTTTACGGCCCCTCCTTGCGAGAGCTCTGTTCAATAGGAGATTCAAGCCACAGCGAGAGGGGCGTTTTAACAGACGCAAACTCAGCCCCACTTGCGTCTGCTTTGAAGAGCTTCCAGTCTGCATGGCTCTTCTGGCCACAAGCGGTCTCGTTCTGTTTCTCATTATGTTCTGGAAGGGCCAGGCTGAGCCTACAAAGCAAAGCCGTTTTGCTCTGCGCGTTCCTGTCTCGGACCTCGTGCACTTGCACTTTCAGATGTAATTATTTCAAGGTGGCAGTTTAGGGGGATGCTCCGGCCTAGTGCTATGCTGGTATCTTTAGAAATGGTGTATCAGCTGAATAAGACTGTCCAAGGAACCGTCTCTCCCTGAGTGTATGCAGTCTTAGTGGGGACATCTGTGTGCACCAGCCCTGGAAGAAGGCCAGACCTGGCTCTGCCTGTTGAGGTGCTTTCCGTGGGCAGCACTGAGAGGGCCTGTTTGGCATGGAGGTGCCAAGGGCCAAAGAGCCTGACCGGCCGTGCCGGTGGAATTTGGGTTAAAAAAAAGTGTGGGGGGTGGATTTTAGGGACAATGGGAGGCCATTAGAAGTAGAGGAGTGATTCGATTTGATTTACGTTTTAAGAAGCTCACTCTTACTGCCAGGTGTGAAATGGATTGTTGGGGCAAGAATGAAAGTGGCCATTGCAGTAGTCCCGGAGAAAGATGAAGGAGCTCAGATTAGTGTGACAGCCGTTGGGATGGGGCTTTGGAGTGGATGGATTTGAGAGATATTTTGGAGGGGGGCTTGATAGGTCTTAGTGACCGATTGGAAACTAGAGCTGGGTTCGTGGTGGTCAGGAAATGGGAAGAGAAACTTATATTTACATAACACTCATTATATGCCAGTAAAGGCTACAGGTATTCTGTGTGCACAGAATTTATGCCCTTGATTTTATTTGGTCCACCTAATAATTCTATAAGGTTGGTACTTGTATCTCCATTTTACAGACCAGGAAACCAACATTAAGTCAAAAGGTTGCCCAAGGTCTCAGGACTAAGAAGTGGCAGAGGTAGGTCTGAGACCCGTTTGTCTTAGTGACCGATTGGAAGTAGATGTCAGGATGAAAGAGGGACCAAGAATGACTTCTAGATTTCTAGCCTGAGCACCTGGGGGATGATGGTCCCGGTTGCTGTGCTGGGGAAACTGGGAGGTGGGGGAGAGCTAGGGGTGGAAATGTAGGCTTGGGTTTTGCTCTCACAGGTTCAAGCGGAGCTGACAGTAGGCAAGTGGATATGAGAGTCGGGAGCTCAGGAAGACCTGGCCTAGATGCTCCACTGGGAGCTGGGACTGTAACAGATGGCTTACTGTCCAGGGTCTGGAAGGGTATCTCAGGAGGAAGTATGGGCAGAGAAGAGGCGGCTTGGAACCGAGCCTTGAGGAACCGCAGGTGCCTTGACAGGTAGACTTGAGAAGTGGCAAGCAGCGAGGGGAAAGGACAGCCAGAAGCCCTTGGAATCATGGAAGCCAGGAGGGGACTGCCGGGGTTGGGGGCAGCCACTGCTCTGATGCTGCCGAGTGTTGGGAAAGACAAGAACAGAGGATGCCCGTTGGAGGTGACGACACAGAGGTGACATTGATAAAAGCAGTTTGGGGGGCATGGCTGGCTCAGAAGCAACGAGGTGTGGCAAGGAGCCAGAGGGAGGAAGTAGGGGCAGCAGCTCTTTCGAGAAATCGGTCAGTGATGGGCCTAGAGAGGAAATAGTGCCCAGGGACAGCATCTTAGAGAAGAGGAGACATCCTCTCCCATGCCTTATGCTGGTGGGATCCTCCCTGCAGAGAAGGAAGGAAGCGGGGATCGTGGGAGGGACCAGATACTGAGGGCAGGAATGGGGTCAGGTCAGGGGGCTTCTGATGGAGCATCAGGTGTGGCCATCCGCTCAGAGGGGCGAGGGTGTTTTGAGAAGAGAAGGAGGAAGGAGAAGGGGTAAACTAGTCAGGAGTGTGGAAAACTGAGCCTTTTAGAGAAACAGTATAGAGGACCCACAAATTCATACTTGCCTGTATGAATTTAAAGTGAAACCGTTTTCTAGACCAACCGTTTTATGAAAGGCAGGGTAGGATTCATCCAGAGTTGGGAGTTTTGCCAATTAAGGAAGGTGGACAGAGACAGGGACCCTGGAATCTTAAGTTGGATGCGATGATCTGAAGCCAGGAGGGGCTGACGGATACTGGCTGCAAGAAGCCAGCTGCTTCCCGTCCCCTCTTAGGCAATGTGGATGACCAGAAAAGCTCCTCCCCAGCCCCTGTCACATAGATCCTGTGTTCTTAGTTTTAAAGCTAGCCACAGGCATGAAGTAATTCTGGACGATTTTCTTTATTTCAGGAAATCTGCGCCACACCCCAGCTGTTTGCAGATCGCGCTCAGGAAGGACAGGTGAAGCAAGGGCTGCTAGGGGACTGCTGGTTCCTGTGCGCCTGCGCCGCCCTGCAGAAGAGCCAGCACCTCCTGGACCAGGTGTCTGCCACAGCGCGGCTTCCCCTCCGGCCCTTGCTTCCTGTCTGCCCGCGTTGGAAGGAAGCAGGAGGCAGCCAAGCTCTTGCCCTGTGGGACTCGGCCCTCGGGGGCTCCGAGGCGCAGATGCAGTGACCCCCTCCCGCAGGGGCCAGCAGGGCTGCTTTCTGCCCTGCTCTGCCATCTCCCGAGCCCTGGGTCAGGCAGGCATTTGGAATAAAAAGACAAACGTGCCAGCCAGGCGTCGGGGGAGGTGGAATCCTTTGCGCGACGGGAGGGTACCGTTCCGCACGGTCGCGCTCTGCTCGGGATGCTGGGAGCGCGCCGCGTGGTGGCTTCTCTCACCATCTCCTTTTGCCTCTCCCCACGCGCGGCAGGTCTTTCCTCCGGGACAGCCGAGCTGGCTCGACCAGACGTACCGCGGCTCCTTCACCTGTCGAGTTTGGCAGTTTGGACGCTGGGTGGAGGTGACCATAGATGACCGTCTGCCTTGTCTTGCAGGGAGACTCTGCTTCTCCCGGTGCCAGAGGGAGGATGTGTTCTGGCTTCCCTTACTGGAGAAGGTCTACGCCAAGTACGCACGCTGCGGGTGGAGGGGCCGGGCCAGGCGGGCTGGGGGCCTGGGAAGCACATCTGCTCGCCCTGGGCTGCAGCATCCTTGTCAGCAGCTAGGGTCTGGTGGCCAGTCCTGGGTGGGGCGACCCGTCCAGAGACAGAGACTCTGAGACTTGGCCTGTGGTTTGCTGTCCCCTCTGCCCACTCCCTCTTTCCCTGCCCTCATTTCAAAGTCGGGCATGAAGGCCTCGCCTCCAGAAAGAGGGTGTGTGTTTTCCTCTCTCTTTCCTCAAACCCAAGCGAGAGAAATGTCTCCGTCTATCTGTGTCACCACTGGGGACAGGCGGCCTCTGTGCAGGTTGCTGGGAAGGAATGAGGCCACCGAGGTACCATGCTCGTTTATCGTAGTCCTGAGACCAAGGACTTCCTCCCCGAGTGTGCTGATGGCCGTGCTGAAAGGCGCTGGGCCCGTAGGCAGGCCTCCGCGGTGGGAGTGAGCCCTCCACTGCTGCCGCTGGCGGGGCCGAAGGCCTTGATCATGAGAGACGCAGGAGTGAGAGCTCACAGCCTCCGTGCCCGCCTCCCGCTGGTGCCCCACAGGGGCAGAGGCCGCAGGGCACTGCGGGGTGCTGTCCCGTATGGCCTTGGAGGCGAGCTTGTGTCTGGACTTGGTGAGGACAGGGTGGGAGGGAAAGAGGCGAGGAAAGAGAGGCGATTGAGGTGGGTAGAAGGCAGACCACAGGGGACAGGAGAGGGGCAGGGGGCCTGGTACCGGAGCCTCACGCCTTCCTGGCTGTCTCCCCAGGGTCTACGGGTCCTATGAGCACCTGTGGGCGGGACAGGTGGCTGACGCCCTGGTGGACCTCACTGGTGGCCTGGCCGAAAGGTGGAACTTGAAGGACATGGCAGGAGCCAGCGGCCAGCAGGACAGGCCCAGGGGCGCGGAACGCAGGACTTGTCGGCAGCTGCTCAGCCTGAAGGACCGCGGTCTGCTGAGCTGCTCAGTGCTCAGCCCCAGAACAGGTAGGCGGGAGCGGGCGGCGGCATGGCAGGCCTGCACACCTGAGCCCTCTCGGCCTCCTGTACAGAGCTTTTTACTGTGGTCCTAGATGGGCTAAGCGGAAAGGAGGACCTTCGGAACTGGTGTCTGAGTGTGTGACCTTCCCTACTGACCGTCCTTCTCTGGAGGGAAGTGTCCCCTTTTCCCTTGACCAGGGCTTGCTGCCATGGGGAGGCGGGAGCCTGTATTGGGGTCGCTGGGAACCAGGTGGCGGCACCATCTCTGGCCCAGCTGGTAACCTGGCAAAAGCGACAGTCAGGTTTTCACTTTAGTAATATACCTGCTCATTGAAAGAAATCCGTTGAAAAAACAAATCACTCAGACTTGACTACTTTTGACTTTTTAGTCCCTTCTCAGTTTTTTTTCAAAAAGATGTATATGTTTTATATTCTGTATCATATGCCATTATCTGTGTTGCTGTGTAAACTTTGTCAACGTCTTACGTTATCAGTGTGTCTGCTGCACTCTTCTTAACTCTTCCCTTGATGTTGGGTATTCAAGGTCTTTCCATTTTATGCTATTATAAATAGCACTGCAGTGGATATCTTTATGCATAATTGTTTTCACATTTACGGTTATTTTCCTAACGGGCTTTTTGTCCAAAGAATAAGAACATCAAAATAAACTGCCACGTGTTGGCCGTCGCGCTGCCCGGCGGCGCGCGAGCGTTAGTGCAGCCCCGGGCTGGTTTGCCCACCTGCAGGCCTCAGGGTGGGGCTGGGGAAGCACACTTCGGGGGTGAGGGGAGCCCACAGAGTGCTGTGCTGGGACGCTGTGCGAGACACTGCCTCAGAGGGTGGCCTGTGTAGCATCAGCTGCCCCCAGGGTGGGGTAGGACTAACTCTGGGCACTTCAGGCTTTGGGGGAGCCCACAGGCAAAGATGGAGAGCAGCTGGAGCCCACCGAAGTGGCAGGGGGCTGGGGACGTGGGCGGGACACCCAGAGTGGCGGCTCCAGTGCCTTTCTAAGCAAAGCACTTAAAGACATTCCAGGAGTTTCTTCTCCTGTCTGGACCGCCACCCGCCCACCAGTCTCTGCTTGGCCCCTTCACTTCTGCGCCTGTCTGTCCCAAGGCCTCTGGCCACGTGGAGGGTCTCCCGCGGGCCTCCAGCCCTCCCCACCGGTTTCTGCTCAGACACTACCTGGTGCCCCTGACACCTTAGCAGGCCTCGCCGAGAAGAGGTTTCTCTAGTTTCTGGCGTCACAGACCCGCCCGTGACCGTGCTGGGAGCAGCCCTTTTGAGAACCTCCCTCATCATCCTCAACGAGGGCCGAGGCCCAGAGAAGGGAGTGACTCGGCCACTCCGGAGCTGACTTGTCGGCAGCGATCAGGAAAGGAGCCCCTGGTGGCCCGCGGGGACCCGGGTGCCTGTGCAGCTGCGGTTGAGTGGGCTGGGGCGTCCCAGGGAAGGAGGCGGACCTGTGTATCTGCTCGGTTTGAGGACTTCCTGGCTGTCCCTCACCCAGGTACCAGGGCGCTGGGGGAGTTTCATGCTTTCATTGTCTCGGACCTGCGAGAGCTCCGGGATCGGGCTGGTCAGAGCATCCTGCTGCTGCGGATTCAGAACCCCTGGGGCCGGCGGTGTTGGCAGGGGCCCTGGAGAGAGGGGTGAGTGCGGCGAGGTGCACTCTGGGTCATTGCGCTGGTCTTGCTGGGGGAGGGGTGCGGGGCCCGAGGGGCAGCCCAGAGTCGCCTTGACCGCGTGTGCGCCTGGTGTCCGAGGCCGGGCCGTGGTCAGGACAGGGTTTGGTTGCTCTCCTGCTCGTGGGCCACCGTGCTCTGTGCTCGGCCCCAGATGGCCTGTTGAGGCAGCCTCAGTGCTGGGCCCTGCGACCCAGGCGCCCGGGGCGGTCGGGGCCTGTCCTGGGTCAGGGGCACCCACGGACTGGTGGATGCCTTGCCGGGCTGCGGGCGACAGACCCACGGAACGCCTGCACCCAGTCATCAGCTCAGCGTCAAGACCTGGCCCAGGGCCGCTGCCCTTCGCCGGCCCAGGGTCGCAGGGCGGGACCAGCATCCCCACCCCCACCCCGCCCTGCCACCTGCCACCCCCGTCATCCGCTCAGCAGGCGGGAGGCCTCGGCTGAAGGGAGGTTCCTTCCAGGGGTGAAGGGTGGAACCGGGTGGAGTCCACGGCCCAGTCTGAGCTGCTGTCACAGCTCCAGGAGGGGGAGTTCTGGGTGGAGGAGGATGAGTTTCTGCGGGAGTTTGACGAGGTCACCATCGGCTTCCCCATCTCGGAGGCTGGCCACCTGCAGAGCCTCTGCTCAGGTAAGGAAGGCCTGCGCCCTGGGGGAGGCCTCGTGGCTCGCAGTGGCCCGGACGACTGGCCTCTGACGTCCGGGGCTGAGCAGGCCCCGCGTCCCACCGCGGGGTGCCTGGTTGCCCCTTGGCTTCTCTTCAGGGCGGAGCGGTGGCTGCACCCCCACCTGCCCTGGGGGGACAGGTGGCGGGGTGGGGGGCCCCTGCTCGTGCAGGGAGCAGGAGGGGGACCCCGTCCCTGCAGCTGACGTGGGGGTCGCCACCCAGGAAGGGCGCTGTGCCACACTCAGGAGCTGCCCGGGGCCTGGGTCAAGGGCCAGTCGGCGGGAGGCTGCCGGAACTACAGTGGCTTCCCCAGCAACCCCAAGTTCTGGCTGCGGGTCTGCGAGCCCAGCGAGGTATACATGGCCGTCCTGCAGAGACCGCGGCTGCGCACGGCGGGCCACCCAGGCAGGGACTACCAGGCCGTGGGCCTGCACATCTGGAAGGTAACCCACCCGGGCCTGGCACCCCGCTCTGTGGGATGCAGGCACAGGGGTGAGGAGGCCTGAGCCCCAGGAGCCCCCGACGTGCCCCTCGCCCCGCCCCGGCTGTGTTCCCACAGACCCCGCTCAGATCTGAGTCCACAGGACTCACCTCCCTCCGCCTAGCCCAGGGTGTGCCCTTTGGCCAAAGGCAAGCTACACAGAAGCAGCCGTTAGCAGAGCTGGCAGAGGTGTTAGGAGGGCTGCTGGGGGCAGCCCCGGACCTCCCTACAGAACAGGGATGGGGTTGTTGTGCTCTCGTGGGTTGTCTGAGGTACCCTCGTACCTCAGGGTGGAGGTACGTGGAGACCCCTGTCCTGCTCTCCGAGGGGACACCTGGTGGCCGACAGAGGACCGCGCTGCCCGTTGGCTCGCCCAGTTGCTTGGTTGTTAACCCTGTGTGTCCTGACGGGGTCTGACAGCTCACATCACACTGTTCCCCGTCTCTGTGCGGCCACGGCCTGCCTGGTGTTGCTTTCCTCGTGCAGAAACTGCTAGCAAGCGTTTGCCTGGCAGTCCCCAGGTTGCATCAGCCTCCTGCCTTTGCAGGCGCGGCCCTGTCTGGATTTGTCTGTCTCCTCCCGGAGCAGAGGAGGACTTGCAGGCTCCCATGTGGGATGGAGTCACTGACCCCAGGGCTGAGGGGAAGGCCCGGGTTCACCGGGGTGCGGGGGACCCGTAGACCTGGGTGCTTCGAGGGGGGCCCTTCTGTGACGGGTGCACACGGGCCTCCCCTGCAGGTGGAGAAGCGGCGGGTCAGCCTGCCCAAGGCCCTGTCTGCGCCCCCCGTGGCGGGCACCGCATGCCACGCGTACGACCGCGAGGTCCACCTGCGCTGTGAGCTCGCCCCGGGCTACTACCTGGCCGTGCCCAGCACCTTCCTGAAGGACGTGCCAGGGCGGTTCCTGCTCCGGGTCTTCTCCAGCGGGAGAGTCTGCCTCAGGTGAGGGTGGTGGGCAGGCCGGGGACTGGGGCAGGGCCGCGTGAGTGTGCGCCACGGCCGCCTCCTGTGCTTCTCTCCCCGGCAGCGCCATCCAGCCGGCAGCCCAGAGCGCTGTCCCCCGGGAGGTCCTGCCCATGGGCGAGTGGGAGACCGTGAGGCTGCGGGGCTCCTGGAGAGTCGGCCGGACGGCGGGGGGCAGCCGGAACTTTGCCTCCTACCCCACCAACCCCCGCTTCCCCCTCTCGGTGCCGGAGGGCGCGGGCCCCCGCTGCGTCCGCATCACCCTGCGCCAGCACTGCCGTGACCACGAGGGCCTCCCCATCGGCTTCCACGTCTTCCAGGCAGGCGCCCCTGCTCCCGGGCGTCTGGGTGGGGTGAGCCGGGGTCGGGCAGAGAGGCCCCCGGGGTCTGTCCGCGTCATCCAGTCACACACAAGACTCATTTCTATTCCTAAAGTCCATAGCTCACTGGGGGTCACGGCTCAGCTCAGGCAGCCCCTCGTCCACTCGCCCGGGCTCAGAACCACTGGACACTTGTGTCCTGAGCTGCCCCCAGCACTGCACCTGCAGCCGGGAGGCCCGACAGGGCGCAGAGGGTGCCGTTGTCCAGCAGGAGCCGCCCTGAAGCCGCGTGAATCCTCCCCGCCCCAAACCCCGTGGCTGAGTCTGGAACCAGCGAGGGCCTGGGCTCTGGGGACCAGCAGGAAAGGGACGGAGGGGAGGCCCACACCCGCTGAGACGTGACGGATGGTCGCGCCACCGAGTGAGGGTCTTCTGATCAGAAAGAGAAGACAGAGCTGGGGGTAGGAGCTGAGAGCGAGGCCGAGGTACAGGGCCGCATCCCAGGCAGCAGGAGGGTGGGGCGGCCTTCGGGAGCTCGGGGAAGTGCGCCAGTTGCCCCCGCAGAGGAGAGGCTGCCTCCCGGGCTCACGTGGGCATGGGTGGCAGGAGACCGTGGAGGCCAGGCGAGGGCCAGGGCGTCACAAACGCCGCCCCGAGCGCCTTCCCCGGCCTCAGTCAGCTCTTCCTCTCCCAGCACGTGAACAGGATGCACCTAGCGACGTGTAGCTGGAGAAGGCGGGGAGGTGAAGTGCTAGAGGTCAGAGGTCACAAACCCAGATCCCATGGTGAGGCGTGGCTCCCCTGCTCCTTCTGGGGACCCCGCTTCAAGATGGGCTTGGACAGTGGCAGGTGCCCGAGGACGGCATGGGCTGGAGGATGGCCCGGAGCTGTGCCGTCAGGGGCCCGTCATGGGGCTGGGCACGCTTAGCCTGCGGTGCAGACGACGTGGGGGAGCGGAGGGTTGGCTCTTCTCTGAGAAGGTTCTGTGCCCTCAGGATCCCAACGGCTGAGGACGTACTCTGGTGCCTCGCTCCACCGCAGGCCACCCCTGGGGTACCCCCCCGGCGCTTCGAAAAAAGTGCCGGTGCCGGGGCCAAAGAGATGAGTCCTGGGGCAGGGGCTTGCGCAGTGGGGGCCTCCTGGTGCCCTGGGTCTTAATTCCCCCACCCAGCTCCTCCCAGCGGCCACCCTGAAGGCTGGGCTGTGCCCTGGGACACGAGGTGCCCTGGTCTCTTCCCCTGAGAGCCCCAGGCAGAGCTTCTCGGGGCCCAGAAGCTGGGGCTGCAGTGACAGTCGCTGAAGGATGTGAGGGCGGGCCTTCTGCTGGTCCCCAGGCTGCGGCCCTCGGGTGGTGGGGCCCCGGTGAGTGGCGAGTCCAGCTTCGGGGGCCTGGCATGTGTGACGGGGTCCAAGCAGACTGCACTGGGCTGCTCCCGACCCAGGGCAGTGCTGCCTGGGAAGGGAGCGAGGCCAAGGCTGAGACAGGGGACTTGCCTTCGCCGTCCTGGCGGACACAGCCGATTCGGTCCGCCCACGGGCAGGCCGCCCGGTCTGAGCCCAGGCCTCCCCCAGGTCCCAGCGGACGGCGGGGGCCAGGATGCGCCCTCCTTGCTGCTCCAGGAGCCTCTGCTAAGCTGTGTGCCGCACTGCTACGCCCAGGAGGTCAGCCGGCTCTGCCACCTGTCCGAGGGGACCTATTGGATCGTGCCCTCCACCTACCTGCCAGACACAGAGGGGGCCTTCACAGTGACCGTAGAGACCAGAATAGACAGGTGGGGCGCCGGGGCCGTGTGTGGGTGTGTGTGTGTGTCGGTCGGGGGGCCGTGGTCCTCAGCATCTTAGCGCCCCTGGTTCTCTCCCACCTGTCGCACACACCCCAGCTCTCACTGTGCTGGCAGAGCCCAGAGGCCTGTGGGAGGAGAGTGCGCTGTCTAGAGAGCAGACGGGCCTGGAGCGTGGCTGCCTCTCCAGGTGCGCGGGGAGGGACCCAGAGGGGTGAGCGCGGTGTCTTCTCCCACAGGCGCTCCATTCACAGCCAGGAGATGCTGGGGCAGCTCCTCAAGGAGGTATGTATGGGGCCTGGGAGGGCCCAGCTCACTCTGCTTTGGGGCCTCCTGGTGCCCTGTGTCTTAATTCCGCTGCCTAGCTCCTCCCAGCGGCCACCCTGAAGGCTGGGCTGTTCCCTGGGACACGAGGTGCCCTGGTCTCTTCCCCTGAGAACCCCAGGCAGAGCTTCTCGGGGCCCAGAAGCTGGGGCTGTCGTGACAGCCCCTGGAGGACGTGAGGGTGGGCCTTCACCCCTCGAACCAGGGCAGTGCCGCCAGCCCTCGCCATCTCCTCCCGCAGGCCTCCTTCGTGGCAGTGATGAAAGCCTAACCGGGTGATCCTGTGTGTCGGCTCTGGTGACCAGGGGTCTGAGGGGCTCCCAGTGGCCCACACGCCAGGGCCGCGGCGGCCGGCCTGAGCGGGTCCTGGCAAAGAGCCCCCGTCCCTGCAGGTGCTGCAGGAAGGGCAAGAAAAACTCAGGGTGGGCACCTTCGTTCCATGCCGCTGAGCCGACAGAGCCTCCCTGAGATCCTCCACGCCCTGTCTCCCTGGCCCCGGAGAGAGGCCTTACGGCGCGTCGGGACAGATCTTGTTTAAAACTATTTATTAGAAACGTTTTTAGGATGTAACTTTATAAATAAACATCAGTACTGAGCAGCTTCCGGCTGGCTCCTGGTTTAGGTAGCCAGCGGCTTCATTGGCTGTCACTGGGGGAGCAGGTGTGGGGCTCCCGCCTGGCTGCTGAGACACGGGGGGTGACCAGGTGGCCCGAGCGGTGCAGGGCTGGTGTAGGGAAGGAGGAGGTGGGTAGTGAGAGAGAAAATTGGAGGGGCGGCACACAGCAGTCTGCAAGTGGCTGAAGCGGCATGCTGCCATCAACTCCCCGTCCATGCTGGGCCCCCCACCTGGCTGCCTTCTAGTCATCTGGTCTACCAGCCGACGGGCTCTGGTGCGAATGCTGCCGCCGGCGCTCAGCGGTCTCCTGCTTCCTTCTAGGAGGTGCGGGATGAGGTCCTCTGCTCTTGACTTGGGAGGGGATAGCCTGCAGGCCTCTGACCCCTGGACCCCTCAACCCCTAACCATTTCTGGTGCCCCGATCGTGGCCTGGTTTGTCTCCTGCCCCATCTTCCTCCTCTGACTTCAACGCCGTGACATCACCATGACTGGGGCGTCGAGCCAGTTGGGTCTCTTTGTCCTGTATTACAACACAGTCTGGAAAAAACTGCCAGTGGCCGTTCCATTGCGCGAAAGTGCGGGCTGGTCCTCGTCTCTCCTGACCTGCACCGTCACGGAGCACTGCCGGGCCTGATGCTGCCCTCGGGGGGCAGGAGTTGTCCTGGGAACCCCGAGTTCTGAGTCACGTGGAGCTGGGCTGGGGCCGCCACTCCTGACGGGACCACCCGGGGTCTTCGGAGGCTCAAGGGGGGGGGTGTCCCAGTCTCCACCCTCCCCCGATGTACCGTTTGCGATTTGTTGTCTGGGGTGGGTGATGGTTTCAGCCTCGCCCTTGGCCTTCCTGACTGGCGTCTCTGACCCCAGAGAGGGTGTTGGTCATTTGCACATGTGAATCCCAGTTACATGCTTGGAGACCAGGAAGTGACGCCATTGCCCGCTGGGAGCCGGTCCTGGCAAGATTCCACTGTCAACAGCCTCCTGTGTCCCACCCTGGCAGGGCCCGTGAGGCCGTGCCAGAGGTCAGTGTCAGCTCAGGACCTGAATGCCCAGTGGTTCGCAAACGTCTGGACGTCCCCTCCCTCTCCCTGAGCGCAGCCAAGGAGTAGAGGGCCTAAGGGCCAGGTGGGCGGGGGCGTCTGGGGGAGTCTGTTGTGCACACCTGCTGTCGGGGGAGGGTCCTTCCTCTTGGAGCCCAGCCACCTCTGCAGTCCGTGGGCCCAGGCCTGGCTCTCTCTGCCCTGCAGCTGGAGCTCCTTCATGAGTGACCAGAGGCGGCCTCACACCTGGCCCCCAGCCACCTGCCCTGTCACCCTGCTGTCCGTGTATCTCAAACCCCCGGATGGGACGAGACCACCACCTGTGCCCAGAGGCAGGCCCCTGTCACCAGGCGCAGTGGGTGATCCAGCTCCAAACCCCATGGTATCAACTCTTCTTGGACCTCGGAGGCGACACGAAAACAAGTTTGGGGTGCAGGATGTTTATAAGGGAAGGAGGGGAGGTCTGACACGTGCATCCGGAGTCCCTCATGGGGCTTAAATGCAGGGTGTTTACACCCCGCCTGGCTAGGTCTCCCCGGCAGGTTACCCCGTGGGTGTCCTTAGAAGAGGTAGCAGAGCTTCGCGTGAGGACACGGAAGGCGGCCTTCTGAGAGCCAGGACGGGGGCTCCGCCAGGAACCAAATTGGCCAGTGCCTTGACCTTGGACTTCCAGCTTCGAGAATTGGGAGAAATCAATGTCTGTGGTTAAGCCTCCGAGCCTGCGGTGTTTTGTCCCGGCAGCGACCGAGACAGGCTGCTCCTGATTCTTGAGCCGCGGCCGCAGCCTTCCCTGGAGTGGACTTTCTCTCTAAGCCTCCACAGGGTGCGTGTGCTCTCTGCAGCTGCCACTGCCTTGAAGAGCTCGGTCCCGAGATCGGCTGGGGCGTGGAGGGGTACCTCCAGACCCACACGTCCCTGCCCAGCCTCAAAGCCCTTCTGCAGTCGGCCAGCTCACCCGATGGCCCTGCCTGGACGACCAGCTGTGTGCTGGGCACCTCTCCCTCGGGCCAGCCTGGGGCTCCCTGCTCCACCGGGGCGGTCTGGGGAGGCCTCCGGGGGGCGCACTTGAGCTGTGCCACCGCGTCTGAACTCCTGTCAAACGCTGACCCCTCCCTTCCCCACTTGCTTCGCTCTGAGGCACTTCATGCACGTGAACACAGAGAAAGCCAGTGCACTGTCTCACCCGTGAGGGTTCAGACAGGGGCCGCGCGGAGCGCCCCCCTTCCAAAGGGGCCTGAAAAGTAAAATGCTGTCAGCTGCCCCAACACCACTGGGCTCCCGCCCCGGGCAAGGCGCCAGGACTCCCAGAACCCCAGAAGGCGGGGGTGGGCCTTCCCGGGGCAGAGGGTGGGACGCTGCCGGCTTCTCCCCAGGAGCCCGTGGGGTGACTCACGGTTCCCCTCGGCCAGACACCCTCGCTGTGCCCGTCTGGGGAGAGTCCTGGTCCCTCGCTGGGTGAGGGCCCCGTCTGGGTCCCACGGCGGGGTCGTTTGAAGGCCAGGACCGCGGCCGCTGCAGATGGGAAGGCGCCCACCACCTGGGCTTCTAGGCCACAGCTGGCGCAGCGGGCGCCGGCCTTGTTCACTGAGCCAGAGGAAGCAGAGTCTGGGCACTGAGAGGCAGGGCGCCGTCGGGGGTGGCCTCCGTGCCCCAAGCACCAGGCCGCCTCCTGCCGTCAGCCCCAGGCTTGCGCCAGCTGTTACATCATCCCTTCACAGTGGCCAGCCACTGGCCGACTGAAGGGGCCCTGCACCAGGCCAGCCTCAGGAGCCAGGCAGGCCCAGTTCCACTGCTGCCTCAAGCCTCCACTATACTGACTGACACAGACTGGGACCCTACTCTGGGCCCACCTGGGCTTCACGGAACCCACACCAAGCTGAGTGCCCTGTGCTGAGCCCAGGGCTGTGTCCAGGGCCAGGCCCTGCCTGGGGTCCCTGTTCTGTGGACATGCCACTGGGGGCCTCCCTCCCATGTGCCGTGGCCCTGGAGGGCCCAGAGGGGCGGGCCAGGGGGTGTGCAGGTGAGGACGCCTCCTTTCCCGGGCTTTCCCAGAA